CACTTCTGGTCACTGTATTACAGAATGGATATAAATGCTCTGGAAAATGTACGGAGGAGGATGACAAAGATGATCCCATGTATCAGAAATCTTCCCTATGAGGATAGACTGAGGGCCCAGAATCTGCACTCTCAAAAGGCAGGGATGTAAATAGTGTGCTGAAAATTTCCAGCCAAGACAGGACTCGCAGCAATGGTTTCAAGTTGGAAAAATTCAGATTTAGAAAGGATATAGAAAAGCACTGGTTTGGTAATAGAGTTGTGGATGAGTGGAACAAACTCTCGAGTTCAGTTATTCAGGTCACAACATTGTGTAGTTTTAAAAATAGGTTAAATAAATACGTGAGTGGGTGTGGGTGGGTGTGAGTTGGACCTGACTAGCTTGTGCTGCTGGGTCTGGTGCAGTGCTCCATCCTTGAATGGAGATGACCAGACTGGGTGGGTCATTCGGCTAATCCAGGGGGGGGTTCATTGGTCTAATCCGGGGGGGGGACATGGACCTGCTCCGCATGGGTCAGTAGGCCTGTTGCAGTGTTCCTTGTTTCTTATGTTCTTATGTTCCATACTCTTCCTAATTTGTTATCCAATTTTTCTTTATCTAATTTGATACCCTCATCACCTTACTCTTCTCTATGTTCACTTTCAACTTTCTACCTTTACACACACTCCCAAATTCGTCCACTAACCTTCGCAATTTTTCTTTAGAATCTCCCATAAGCACAGTATCATCAGCAAAAAGTAACTGTCAATTCCCATTTTGTATTTGATTCCCCATAATTTAATCCCACTCCTCTCCCAAACACCCTAGCATTTACTTCTTTTACAACCACATCTATAAATATATTAAACAACCATGGTAACATTACACATCCCTGTCTAAGACTTACTTTTACTAGGAAGTAATCTCCCTCTCTAATACACACCCTAACCTGAGCCTCACTGTCCTCATAAAAACTCTTTACAGCATTTAGTAACTTACCACCTATTCCATATACTTGCAACATCTGCCACATTGCTCCCCTATCCACTCTATCATATGCCTTTTCTAAATCCATAAATGCAATAAAAACTTCCCTACCTTTATCTAAATACTGTTCACATATATGCTTCAATGTAAACACTTGATCTACACATACCCTACCCACTCTAGAACCTCCTTGCTCATCCGCAATTGTACATTCTGTCTTTCCCCTAATTCTTTTAATAATAACCCTACCATGCACTTTTCCTGGTATACTCAGTAAACTTATTCCTCTATAATTTTTACAATCTCTTTTGCCCCCCTTCCCTTTATATAAAGGGACTATACATGTGCTCCGCCAGTCCCTAGGTACCTTCCCCTCTTTCATACATTTATTAAACAAAAATACCAACCACTTTAACACTGTCCCCCCCCCCCCCTGCTTTTAATTTTTCTGCCATGACCCCGTCAGTTCCAGCTGCTTTACCCACTTTCATTGTACGTAATGCCTCACGCACCTCCCCCACACTCACATCCTGCTCTACTTCACTCCTACAAGATGGTATACCTCCCTGGCCAGTGCTTGAAATTACCGCCTCCCTTTTTCGTCGACATTTAAAAGTTCCTCAAAATATTCTCGCCATCTACCCAATACCTCCATCTCCCCATCTACTAACTCCCCTACTCTGTTTTGAACTGACAAATCCATTCGTTCCCTAGGCTTTCTTAACTTGTTTAACTCACTCCAAATTTTTTTCTTGTTTTCATTAAAATTTCCTTACAGTGCCTCTCCCACTCTATCATCCTTACTCTCCTTTTGCACTCTCTCACCACTCTCTTCACCTTTCTTTAACTCTCCATATACTCTCCTCTTCTTATAACAGTTTTGCTTTGTAAAACCTCTCATAAGCTACCTTTTTCTCTTTTATCACACCCTTTACTTCATCATTCCACCAATCACTCCTCTTTCCTCCTGCACTCACCCTCCTATAACCACAGACTTCTGCCCCACATTCTAATACTGCATTTTTAAAACTATTCCAATCCTCTTCAACCCCCCCACTACTCATACTTGCATAGCCCACCTTTCTACCAATAGTTGCTTATACAGTGGAACCTCAAAAATCGAACTTAATCCATTCCAGGAGCTAGTTCTAAATTCGAAAAGTCTGAAATTCGAAGCAATATTTCCCATAAGAAATAATGGAAATACTATTAATCCGTTCCAGAAACCCAAAAATATTCACACAAAAAATATATTTTATAGAGTTTAATTACAGTTTTACATACAACAAATACTATAGTTTTTAATTATGTATAGTAATACATATAAAATAACATTTTTACTTACCTTTATTGAAGATTGGTGATGGCATCTGGAAGATAGGGAGGAGGAGAGAGGGAGTTGGGGTTAGTGTTTGGCAGGAGAATCCCCCTCCATGAGGACTTCAGGTAAAGCCCTCTCTGGGGTTACTTCCCTTCTCTGTCTTTTAATGCCACTAGGGCCATCTTGAGAGTCACTGGGCCCCTGTCTCATAAAATAACTGTCCACAGTCCTCTGTCTCTGGCGCCTCTTTAACATTTCCCTAAAATGGAACATGGTTCTGTCACTGAACTTGTTGCAAAGATGGCTTGTTTCAGCTTGCTCAGGGTGGTACTTCTGCACAAACATTTGGACATCATTCCACTTGGCACAGATCTTCTTAATCTTTGAAGAAGGCACCTCATCAATTCGCTATATTAACACCTTTCACAACATCAGCTTCCTTGATTTGTTCTTTCTTTGACAGGATAGAACCAATGGTCGAATTGTTTTTCCCATACATCCTGGCAAGCTCAACAAGTCTCACACCACTCTCATACTTCTGTATTATTTCCTTCTTCACATCTATGGTGATTCTCACTTTCTTTACCACAGGGGTACCACTAGCAAGTTTCTTTGGGCCCATGGCAGCTTATTTCACAGTCCCACAAGCACTAAACACAACGAAATAATTGTAAAATGCATGAATGAGAGCGCAGTTTAGTGTTCACTCAAGCATAAACAAAGCTAGACTGCTCACGGCGCCTGCGCGGGGATGCGGACAGAGCGGGCGGCAGACAGGTCCCATACCCGGCGGTCCAAAAATAGGGGCGTGTTTGATAATAGGGACACAGTTTGTCCAAAAAAATGGTCCTATTTTTTGAAACGTTCGATATGTGATATGTTCGCTTTTTGAGGTTCCACTGTATCTCACCCGAACTTTCTCCTCCCTTAGTTTATACACTTTCACCTCCCTCTTACTTCTTGTTGCCATTTTCCTCTTGTTCCATCTACCTCTTACTCTAACTGTAGCTACAACTAAATAATGATCCGATATATCAGTTGCCCCTCTATAAATGTGTACATCCTGGAGCCTACTCATCACCCTTTTATCCACCAATTCATAATCTAACAAACTATTTTCATTACGTGCTATATCATACCTTGTATACTTATTTATCCTCTTTTTCATAAAATATATGTTACTTATTGCCAAACCTCTTTCTACACATAGCTCAGTTAAAGGCTCCCCATTTTCATTTATCCCTGGCACCCCAAATTTACCTACTTCTCCTTCCACAACATTTTTACCCACTTTAGCATTGAGATCCCCAACCCCAAGTACTCTCTTACTTGGTTCAAAACTCCCCATGCACTCACTCAGCATTTCCCAAAATCTATCTCTCTCCTCTACACTTCTCTGTTCTCCAGGTGCAAAAATGCTTACTATAACCTACTTTTCACATCCAACCCTTATTTTACTCCACACAATCCTTGAAGTTATGCATTTATGTTCCCTCTTTTCCTGCTATAACATGTCCTTTAACATTATTGCTACTTCTTCTTTAGCTCTAACTCTATTTGAAACCCCTTACCTAATCCTGTTTATTTCTCCCCACTGAAACTCTCCCACCCCCTTCAGCTTTGTTTCATTTAAAGCCACAACATCCAGCTTCTTCTCATTCATAACATCCACAATCATGTCTTTCTTATCATTTGCACAACATCCACGCACATTCAAACATCCCACTTTGACAGGTTTTTCTTTCTTTTTCTTTTTAATAGGCTATACGGGAAAAGGGGTTACTAGCCCATTGTTCCCGGCATTTTAGTTGACTTTTACAACACGCATGGCTTATGGGGGAAAGATTTTTATTCCACTTCCCCATGGACATGAAAGGAAAAGCAATAAGACCAAGAACTATTAAGATAAAATCAAAGAAAACTCAGATGAGTGTGTATACATAAACATGTACATATATGTGTAGTGTGATGTAAGTGTAAGTAGAAGTAGCAAGATGTACCTGAAATCTTGCATGTTTATGAGACAGAAAAAAGACACCAGGAATCCTACCGTCATGTAAAACAATTACAGGCTTTCGTTTTACACTCACTTGGCGGTATGGTAGTACCTTCCTGGGTGGATGCTGTCTACCAGCCTACTACTATAATATGTATGTAATTTTTTTTTTTTTCAAGAAGTCGGCCGTCTCCCAGCGAGGCAGGGTGACGCAAAAAGAAAATCCTCAAAAAGAAAATACTTTCATCATCATTCAATATTTTCACCTCACTCATAATGAACTTGACTTATTGCTGACTATACCATAAGTGTGTCCTCATCAGATTATAGGATGAGAGAAGAGTTATAATCACATACAGAGTAAGATTATCAAAGAATATGAAAGAAAGATGAAAGACTTCTTAACATTGTCAACAGGAGAACTAGGAGAGACCATTATTGTAAGTTGTGGAAGAGGAGGGCCTGAAAGGATACAAGAAATTTCTTTGAAGAGCGATAAAACAATGGTTTTAAGAGGAGGTAGTAAATGCTACTACCACTGGAATTTAAAAATAAACAGATTAAGAAGTGGAGATGGGACAACTTGAGCATAGCTTTGCTCCAATAGCTTCAAATAGGTACATACACTACAAATTTATGCATTTTATAAAAATGAGTGATGATGAGAAATAGGAGACTTGTTTTGTATAGCTTAACCTTAAATATGTTTGTTCACAGTTCTCAAGCAGATGTGCGGTCCTTCCTAAAAGGAATGCAGTTGGTGGAGAGTGAGTACCAGATGGGTAACACCAAGATCTTTATGCGAGAGTCACAGAAACAGAAATTGGACTCTCAACTCCACCAGACTATCTTGTCTCGTATCATTGTTATCCAGCGGTGGTATCGCACTATCCACCAGCGGCGGCACTTCCTGGCATTCAAAAAAGCTGTTGTGAGAATTCAGGTGAGTAAAAATTACATTATAATAAATTTTTAGAAGCTCCTTTTCAGGAGCTTGAAAATATTTTATATCAAAATGCTGTAATTTTTATAGAAAATGAACACTGGCTGTGATTTAACTTAGGGCATGAAATAACTTCTCTATTTTTTGGGAGGAAAGGGAGTCCAAGATTATGCTTGTGCATACATCTACACAAGGCAAGGAGGAAGAGGGGTGGATAGGTAGACTTGCTAGCTAGTTAGGAACCTTATTAGCCTGGAAACAGACCACACAGTTCACAGATTTGGCAACAAGGAAACAATACATGCTGCCAGTCTGTTGGTAAAAAACATTTGTGCTGATCAAGACATTAATAAAGAAAACATTTTGCCACAAGTGACTTCTTCAGTCATAATATTGAAGAGTTCTGAAGAAGTCACTTGTAATGAACTGTTTTCCTTTATAAATCTTTTCATTAGTGCATAAGTGTTTTCTGCCTTTAACTTGTTATCACCATACTGCTTCCTCCATACTGCCAGTCTGCCTCTTCTTCACTTTCTTCCATTATGAGAGAAGTGGAGAGAGGGGTAAGTGGAGTGAGTTGACAAATAATTTGAATCTTGAAACACTTTTTATATTTTATTCTATGTTCTTGTTGAAAGGTTTAATTAGGTATCTCTCGAAGAGGGACCTTTTGGTGGCTGCCTGAATTTTTTTTTTTTTTTTTTTACTTTCTTTTCAATTTTATTTCACCCATTACTCAAGAACCCCTCATCCCACTGGATTCCAATCTTGAAGGATTGTTTACAGTAACAAGAGCCAGGCTCTAGGAAAACTTAGCATGTACAAATGCCCTATGAGTGAAGTTATTGAACCCATTCCCAGCATCCTGGAATGGCTTGAATAACCTTCAAAACCCTCATTGGCATACCTTCAGATGTTTGAAAAAAGTGCATCCTAATTTGGAAATGGCGGAGAGTGAAATTCAGGTGGGTAGGTGCAGATTTAACTATTTTATATGTTAACCCTTTCAGGGTCCGTGCCGAAGCTCTCACTTCCCACTCACTCTCCGGGCGAATTTTGACTCTCCTTTTCACAACTTACAGTTCTAAGACTGATGGAAGTGGATCTGAAGAGGAATTCTATGGTTTTGAACCATATGGTACCATTGTATCATATGGTACAATGGTGCCATGTCATACAATGGTATATGGTACAATGGTACCACATGGTACAATGTACCATATAGTACATTGTTCCATATTGTACATTATACCATATGGTACATTGTACCATATGGTACAGGGTACAGGGACCCTAATGGAAATAAGTCTGTCTGACTTTTTTGGGTTTTCCTAGGTTCTCCAAACATATGCTGCTATGTATGATAATCTATGTAACTGTATTTGTGTATTCCTAAATAAACTTACTTACAATGCCACATGTGCTTGAGTAAGTTTATTCAGGTGTACACAAATACAGTTACATAGATTATCATACATAGCAGCATATGTATAAAATCCTAGGATAACCCAGAAAAGTCATGGTGACTTATTTCCATAGGGATCACTGTATCTGTACCATATGGTGTCCTGTACTGTATGGCACCCTATACCATATGGTACCCTATACCATATGGTACCCTGTACCATATGGTACCCTGTACCATATGGTACCCTGCACCTTATGGTACCCTGTACCATATGGTACCCTGTACCATATGGTACCCTGTAACATATGATAACGTGTATCATATGGTCAGTAGGTATTGGTGCCAGGAGGCACCAGCCAGGATTGAGTGAGTGGTGACACAAGTCACTGACTCAGCAGTTTCCAAGACAAAGCGCTTTGTCATCCACTTCGAGGAACATGCCCAGTGGCTGTACATTTGTAAATATATAATAGAACATTACTAATATACAACATCTTTGCATATTTTTGTTGTGAACAATTATTGTAAACGAAGTAATTATGAAAATATTAGTGTGTGTATTGTGTTGAATACAACACACTAAACACACTATTGTGCAATGGTACCATAATGTACCATTGCACTGTATGGTACCATTGTATCATATGGTACCATTGTACCAAATGGCACCATTGTACCATATTCTACCATATGGTACCATTGTATCATATGGTGCCATTGTACCATATGGTACCATTGCACCCTATGGCACCATTGTACCATATGGTACCATTGTATTCACCACAATAACCACACTAATATTTTCATCATTTTGTTTACAAAAACTTGTAAACAAGTTTTGTAAGCAGTATAATGATAAATTAATGCAGTTATTGTGTTGAATACAATGAGTGTACACTTACACAATATACATTATATTGGTCTCACAGGCCACAAATGTTACTAGAAAAAGAAAAAAAATTAGAGAAGAAAAGAAAACATATAAAAAACGTGAAATAAAAAAATGCGATTTTGTGGAAGTCGCTGATGTTGCCGCCACCCGGTCATTTTAGGTCAACTTCCCGCTGCTGTATCTCGGTAAGTACTGATCAGAATTTTTTTTTTATTACCTTCACAAAAATATTATCTTTAATTCTGTAAGATTTTTTTTTTTTTTTTTTTTTTTTTTTTTTTTTTTTTTTTTTTTTTTTCAAAAATTTCTTGGACACTGGGGCACCCCTTCAGATTTTGGCCTTGGACTCTGAAAGGGTTAAATTGTGTGAAATTTTGATTACCACTTGTCACAGTCAAAATATTTGCATTTATCTCTCCTGAATGGCTTCATTATTTTATGGGTGATGATTCTTATGGCCAAGATAGTACCCATTCACTTCAATTTGTATATTGGTAAATTTGTTAGTGCAATAAACACTTTTTAAAGCATGCAATCATTAGACTTATTATCAAAGCCCCAAAATTAAAGTGCTCATAGTATTCTCATTAACCCTTTGACTGTCGCAGGCCCCTTTCTGAAACTGTCATTCTATGTCTCAAAATATTCGAAAAAAAAAATTATTTTTTCTTGCCAAAATGTTAGGATTATTTTACTGAGTGTTTTAAGCCAAAAAAAATTTTTGTCATCAGTACTTACCAAGATACAGAGGCGCAAAGTTGGCAGAAAATGAGCTGCGTATGGCAACAGCGGCGAATGCCGCCCACCCGGTATTCTTTTATTTACTCCAATTCGAAGGTTTCTTGTATTTTCCAATATTTTTCTTTTCTAAATAACTTATGTGGCCTGTGAGACCAAAGTAAGGTGCATTGTTCAAATATACACTCATTGTTTACAACACAATAACTGAACAAACATTATCACTATTAGTTTGTGTATAAAACTTTTTACACAAACAAACAATACAAAACATTGTTTATTACTATTGTTCCATAATATATATACATATGTACAGTCACTGAACACTTTCCTAGAACTGTTGCAGCTTGTGGAACTCTCTGAAACATGGTTATATGCAGAGTGGTACTTGACACTCCTCACACATAAAACGAGTGTCTCAGCGTGTTTGTGGGCATTTTGTGGTATGTCTACATACAAAACACCTCTTCTGAGCATTTTACTTGAAAGCAGTAGGAGGCAGCTGTATGGGGTAGTGATCACCAGGCCTCAAACGAGATGGTGTGTGTTAGTAATTTCGTGGGCGCTGGTCTATTGCAGGTATTGCTCCTTGGTACTTGGCGATTATTTGTCTGATGACTGATAAACAAAATTTACCATATTTTGGCTTGTTGTTGGTCCTCAACTTGTATACGTTATAAGCATTTAGCATGGAAATATCAAGAAGACGGAAAAAAAAGTTTTATGTATCACTTATAACTCTTACGTACACAATCAGCAAACCCAGTCTGCATGTCACATTTGTCCACTAAGCACATATTGAGGTTGTAGTCCATGACAGCTGCAGGTTTTAGAATGGGTTCATTGGTCTCTCTATTGTACCTGCCAATGTGTGCCATTTCATTTCAGTGAACTGATGTCAACAATGTGATAGCACGTGTCATGCCATCGAAATGCCATGATGTCCTTGGCAGCAAAGGCCTGCACCTCACCTCTGCGAGTGCCAGCGTCAAACCTTGGCATATGTTTATGATTACCACGCACTGTACCACACATGTCTGTCAGGTTCACTCGCAAGAAATCACTGAGTGTGGGGCTTGTGTACCAGTTATCAGTATACAATATGTGCCCCTTACCAAGATATGGTTCCGTCATTGTTCGAACCACATCACAGAGATACCCAATAACTTCCTGGTATCTCTCAATGTATTACTGCCAGTGTACACAATGATATCCAAAACGAGACCACTTTCGCAATCACACAGTACAAATAACTTTATACCAAAGCGTTTCCTCTTGCTTGGTATGTATTGTTTGAATGAGAGTCTTCCTTTGAATAAAATCAAAGACTCATCAATAACAAGCTTCCTGAAGGGATAAAAATACGTGCAACACTTTTGTTTCAGGTAAACACATTTCTGATCTTATATAACCTGTCGCTTCTGTCAGGCCTGGTTTTGTCTGAGAAGTGTAACATACGTAACAGTATCAAAAAACAATTCACACCTATAATGTCACTAAAACCTGGGGTTGAAATCAGGTGTTCTGTTGACCAGTATGTGGTGACAGTGTGCTTATACACATGTGGCATAAGCATTATTGTGGCAAAAAACAGGTACATCTCTGCCACAGTTGTGTCCTTCCACTGGTGTAGCCGTGATCTTCGTGAGAGAATTGTATTTGCCATGGTGTACTCATAGTATGTGTTGGTTTCCCTGACAATAATGTCCATCAGGGGTTCATCAAAGAATAACTGAAAGCATTCCAGTTCAGTAGCATTGTTCCCAAGTGTACACGATGGCCATATTCCACTTTGTGTTTCATCAAAGTCATGGGGACTGGGAACAAACTCGTCACCTTGCTGCCAATCCCAGATACGGTCTGGTGGTGGGTTCTGAATATTGAAACGTGGTTGTGGTTGTGCAGGTTGTGGAAGTGTGGGGTTGGGTGAGGCTGGTTGTAGTTGTGCACAGTCAGGAGCGT